AAACAATTCAATTTCAATAAGACAGTGTGTTCATCTTTGTGAGCTCCTTGAGAGCAAAGGGGGCCTGTTGTTTGTCTCTATAGTTTCAGCACATTGCCTGGCACAGGGCAAGCTGTTTAAATGAATCAACAAGTAATTGGATGATAAATGAATCACTTGTTGATTCATTTAAACAGCTTGCCCTGTGCTAGGCAATGTGCTGAACTGGCAAAAACAAATGGAGGTTCTAAGGTCATATGTGGGACTGATTGGGTTTGTGGGGGTGGGGTGATGTTTGGATAAGGGCAGAGCTTTTTACAATTCATGGCAGAGAAAGGAGGTAGAGACCTGGTATGAGCCCAGAGGGAGCTCACACTCAGATCACATACTCAGATCCCTGCAATATTCTCTAGCTGCTGCTATTAGAGAAGACAAGAAATGTGATTGACAATAAGAGTCAAGTGACACCTCTGAAGAAAAACTCTCCACTACCAACAAGAGTCTTGCTGGACAAAACAATGTCAGATAAGGGACCATGAGAAAAAAAAACAGGAAGGAGGAGGGAAAAATAAATTTTAAATAAAAGGAGGGGATAGCGAAAGAGGAGCTGAGGCAGAGGCCTGTGGGGGAAACAGGTGTTTGAAAAATGTGTGAATGCAAGGCATCCTGGGGACATCAGTTCTGGGGAATGGAGAGGCATTAAAGCTGAGGGTAGAATGAGGGATGAGGAGGGAGGGATAGGTCAGATAAACATCTATGAAACAAAACCCCCACCACAGATAACAAGTACAAAAGAGCCCATTTTCTCTTCTTGAGAAAGACAAAGAGAATTTTAAGTAGGATTAAGTCCTGGTAGCTTTCAGAACTCAGCAGCTCTCAGAAGCAATAATAACTACATAAATAGCTAAGTGGATGGTAGGAATTACCTCACTTGGAATTTGGCCAGCATATCAAAAGTTAGCACTACAATCACATCTTTCTGAAAGCTTTCCTGAGATTCTAGGGGGGAAGTCATCTTAGAAAACTCTCTGAACGGAATTAATGTTAGGAAGAGGATGCTCCTCACTGCTTGAAGATGTTCTGTCTCCCGAAAATTAATAAGACAGAAGCCCTACCCTGCTGGGAAGCACTCTCTTATCCATGTAAATATACTGCCAGCATTGCCCCCAATGGAAGCAAATAAGTACAATCACAGATTACAATGGCCTAATGTAAAATCCTACTCAACAAATAAAACTATAAATGATGTTCCAAATGCAGAGGAAAAGGGCCTTGTAGACATCTTGTACCCAGAGAGCTCCTTTTCCTGAGTATAAGTGGTTAAGCATGGACTTTTCCAGATAAATTAACAATTATATCAACCTCAGGACACCTCTTCTAATAAATAGCCTATTTTTTTCTCTTAAGTGTGTATGTTTAACCACCAACATGCTAGATCACTTTCCCTCCTTCCCCCAAACAGAGATGAAAGTTAAGTGTGTTTCTTAAAAGAAGAAGAAGATGATGAGAAGGATGACAAGGAGGAGGAGGAGGAGGAGGAGGAAAAGGAGGAGGAGGAGGAGGAGGAGGAGGAGGAGGAGGAGGAGGAGGAGAGATTTTTAGAATTTCCCATTATTCCTTTGTTTTCCACCCAGAAACAAGTTATTTTGGGCTCTTCCACAATGGAATTTGCATGAAAATCTGTTTACTGACCCAGTTCCCTAAGGGTGCCTTTGCTTTAGCACTTGCTGCAAACACCATTTTCATTGCACTGGAAACAGTTCTAATTGGACAAATTGTTACAATTACAGCAGCACCCAAATAAATCAAAGGAATCTAACGTGGACCTGCCACCAAGTCCGAATCCTCAACAACCAGTTCAATATTTACACCTTAAATAAATATCCAGTCAATGCCATTTGTAGATGCTACTGGTATAGTTATATACCTCATTTTCTTGAAAAATATTAGTTTGAAGAAACTGATTATTCTGCAAATAGTCTATTGAAAAGTTAGGTGATTGTTTATAGCTAACTTCCTACAGTTACATATACACATATATGAGTTCATTCATACATATACATGGTAGTTCATCCACTTCATGATCTGGTAGGGTTTCATTACTACAGTGTAAACTGCAGCATTTGAACTTGTAGGGGCCAAACAATACTAGTCAGAACTCAGAAGCACCATGTAAAAATATGTCTCAATGAAAAATACATATTCCTCTTTGGTAAACTCTCATCACAAATCTTCTACCAACTCACGTCTCTTTATGTTCCATTATTCCCTAGTTTTCATCCTCTTCTCCAACATCTGGACCTCTTTGGTGTTTGCACACCTCCATGCCTGTGACCTGCAGACACACTTTCTTCTTCAATTTGGACGCATTTTCCCACATCCTTCTTATTATCAAATACCTCTTCCACAAAGCTTTGGATTTTACCACTTGAATTTACAGTTATGTGTTTTCTGAACTTCCTTAATACCCAAGATCAAATTTAGCATTTGATCATGGAATCTTCCCTCTGGTTAAGTATATATTTGCATATATCTTTTCCCTCACCAAATTCCATCCTTTAGAGGTAATATCACCCTCCCCAGCCCCACTATTCTGTTTTGTTTAGTTTTGTTTTTTGTTTTTCCTGACTCCTTCCTTTGAGGCTTCTGCCATCATTCCCCATCTTTTCTCAGTCTCCTATGAAAATGACATCTCTGTTTTCATCTCTAATCTCCAAACTTCTTGCTTATGACTCCCTAATTTGAATTTTTAGTGAACTCTCTGTAAGGTCCCAGACTTTCTGCTGCCACCTGCTGGGCAGTTCCACAGGGAGAACTAAATTCAAGCCAGTTTCCAAACATCTACAATTCATTCAGCTGTTTTCTCTGCTAACTAATCACATCACCATTTTTCTAGACTTCCCTGATAGAAGTCTAATGTTCAGAACCACCAACACTTACCATTCCCACCCCAGGGCTGATCACCCACGATGTACCATAAAGATCACCTACTAGAGCATATATTCTGGGTGTCCTATCCCACACCCCACTCTCCTGGGCAGAGATCACCCATTGCAGGACTCCTGGATGAGTCCTTCCTGACCTGCTCCTTCCCACCCCCCAAATCTTCCTCACACTTCTGCCAGAAACAGCTTCTTAAAATTATTTTTGAAATATTTATATATTGCTCAGGTATCTGAGTATTTCTCTGGATGAAAAGCCCCAAGTTATTCTTTCTTACAGGTAGGATAAAGCCCAAACACCTTCACTCTAGAACTTCTAGGGAAAACAAACAAACAAWCAAAAAGCCTTCAAGACCATTCATGACCTATTTCTTTAGCTTTACCTGTCATTAATCTCCCTTTCAATCAGGACTCACTCTAGCTTTCAGAACTGTTTTATCACTTTTCTTTGAACACGAGACTCCTTCCGGCTCTGGATCCTGGAATGTGCTGCTCTCATGTCTTCACATGGTAACAAGGACTCAACTGTCACCTCTTAGACCACCTTTGGAGTGCAGAAAATGATACCACCCTCTCTCCCAGTTCTATCTAGTCCCTTTTCATGTTTATTTTTATTTCTCCTAAGCACATCTCAGCATCTGGAAGTGTACATGTTTACATATTTAGTGTCTGTCTCCTCACATTCAAACGCAATCCCCATGAGCACAAAACTTGTTTCTCTTCACTCACCTCTACCCCTGAACAGAACCTGGCACACAGGAAACCTGAAGTCAGATTCCTTCTCTGTGTGACACCAATTTTCACATCTTCATCTTCTCTCTGATTACATGTCTCCTCTAGCATTTAGCTATGACCTCTTTCATTTGAACAGCTATTTCTAAAGGGAGTGAGGCAGAGAAAATGGACATATCAAAACATGCAGGAGAGTGGCGAGGTGAAGGAGAGAATGGTTTAATAAAACACATGTTCAAGTTTTGCAGTTTTTTGTGTAGAGAATTTATGTGTTGCTATGGTTTAGATGTGAGGTGTCCCCCAAAAGCTCATGCATGAGACAATGCAAGAAAGCTTAGAGGTGAACTGACTGGGTTATGAGAACCTTAATCCAATCAATGTGTTAATTCACACTAGATGGTAACTCTGGGCAGGTAGGGTGGGGAGGAGATGGGTTCCTAGTGGCGTGATATCTGTCGACTAAGATCTCTGAAATCATGAGCCCCCAAAATAAACTTCCTCCTTTAATTGTTCTTGTCAGTCCTTTACGTTGTAGCAGTGAAAAAGCAGATTGAAACACACTTCTTTGTTACAATTTTCCCTTTAGTTTTTTGCTTTTTTATCCTACTATAAATAATATTCTTTATCATTTTCAATGTGTTAAGTTCTAACACATATATTATAGATGGTTGTTTACATTAATCTCACATCCATAACCTGGCTAAATTTACTTCTGATTGCTAAGTAATTCTTAAAATCTCATAGTTGCTTTCTATGTACACAATCATGTTCTCTGCAAATAAATACAGTTTCATTGTAACATTAAAAATGGACAGTTTCATTATTATTTTTAAGCAGGAGCAATAGAAAATTAAAGTATCAAAATTTCATAGCTGCTCTAGGATTGCTGCTATGCTTGGATAGAAAATAACAGCCTTACATCATAGGGGGTGTGGATAAAAACAGTGGAAACCACTGTCCTATAGCAACTTATGGTCCATCATCCTCACTACATTTTGAACTCCTAGAGAGCAATACCACATCTTATTTATGTGTTTATAGCCCATCAAACCTAACAGAGTGCTTTCCCCAAAGTCAACACTTAATAATGCTACTCGAATAGAACTGAAATACCCCAGAGCTGCACATGTGGAGTATGTTCAGTAAACACTTGTTGATGACAGTGAGAACCAGTAAGAAAATCTGAGCTTGCTGAACCACCAGCTCATACTCTGCTTTGCTGGGAAACAATTATGAGAGGGCACAAGGGAGCAGAAGACACTCTCTTCATCATTCGTACTAGAAAAAAATTTCATTCTCCAGGTAATGCTAAAACAAATGCACTGAGGAAAATATTGAAGAGGCTACCTGTGCATTTCTTTATATGACTGTTCCTTTTTCCGTGGGATCCTAACTTGCATCCAAAATTCTCCTCCCAAAATTCTGCAAACCACACATTTCTTCGATTATTGGCAAGTGTTCGGCTTCTAAAATATCGATCAAATCCTGTTTGAAAGAAAAAAAGGTACGTTTTTAATATTCTTTCCAAATCAAAACTAGATACTGTTATTAGGATGTTTAAATAAATTAGATTGGGATTGATGCATGAACAATTTTTATCTGAATATAACACATAAGGGAGAGCTAGTAGCCCAGATGTAAAGGATTCCCTATGGCAAAGGCCAAGGAGGATCAGTGGGCAGTATTTTCATCCCTACCCTTAGCACCTGGCTCCAACGATCAGTACAACAGGAAAGCCTGCTGCTGTTGTCATCCTTATCACCTCTCCCAATACTCTACATTTCCTGGGGCCACAACCAGTGGCCTAGTGCAGGATCATGAATGTTCCAGACCCAACTCAGACTTTCAAAATTCTTTCTCCTTTCTCCTCACCCTCTCCTAGCATGGATCAATGTTCCAGAGTTTCCTATGTCTCTACCCATTTCAAAATCTCTCTCTCCTACATGGTCCATGTTCAGTCAATTGAGTAAAACAATCAGTGCTAATGGGATCTTATGGAGTCACAGGAAAGTGTGCTGAAGTGTTAGTTTGGTCAGGTGACCACCTCGCGGAAGGCAGACCACCTGTAAATAATGCTTCCCTCCCAAGGATCATGATGACAGTAGGAATTTTAGTCACAGTCATCAAGGCCATTTGGAAAGATATTTGGGAGACAGACTCTATTTCAAGGATGCTAAAAATCATTCCTGTTGGATTTATTTATCCATAGAGTCTAACTAGCAATTTGTATCTTTTTTTTTCTTTTAATGAATCAAACACTTTCCCTCAACATACTATAACCCTCATATATTCCCATGAAAATATGCAAACTTAAAAGTGTAATCACTAGCATGGAATCATCTAAGGATAACTGGTTCTGCTTCTTWAAAAAAAGAAGAGAAAAAATAAAATATAATGGGTACTGTTTTGTTCGAAGAAAAATACCTAGTRGTTAATGTTATCCATTAGAAACCAATCTAACAGCTACAGTAACTGTGAAGCTACTGTATCGACAATTCTGCTCTAAGAGCTAAACATTCTACTCAGAGTCATCAATAATGGGCACATTTCACTGTATTCTAATGCTCTGCTTTGTCTTTGTGTTTTGATTCAATTGGAATAAAAGGAATGCTCTGTGGTGCATCCTTACCATCAATTGATGCTCTTTTGGGCAAAATTGTCACAGCCCCTTCTGCGATCTCCTCCTGCTGATAAACAGGTGCTATTTTGGATCCCCAGCTATCTGAGCCAATCCACAGAAAATGCCCACTTTGGTTTAATTTTTTGGCCGCTTCCAATATCCTCCTGTAGGAATACAAGGAAATAAATATACCACTTTTATCAAGAAACACTACAGTTATGAAATTACAAGACTAGTATTATAGTTTGAATGTGTCCCCCAAATTTCAGGTATTGGAAGCTAATGATTTGAAGGTAGGGTTTGTGGGAGGTAATCAGGGTTATATGAGGTCATGATGGTATGGCTCGTAAGACGGCATTATGGAATTTATAAGGAAAAGAAGAGAGAGTCAAGCAAGAAGCTTCTCTGTCTTGCTACATAATGGCCTCCCCCATGTTATGACCCAACAGGAAGGCCCACACCCGATTTCACACAGATGCTTGTGTCATTCTCTTAGACTTCCAGAACCAAGAGCTAAATAAACCTCTTTTCTTTATAAACTACCCAATCTGTGGTATGCAGAAATAACAACAGAAAGTTAAGAAAACCAGTCTGATGAAGCTAAATATGCTCAGGAGGTCAATGTTAAACAATTAGTCAATCATTCTAATTGTGTGAGTCTTATCATCTCCTAAAGAAAATATAGCAGAGACTTTAACTCCAGCACATGTGTTAATTAGSCTTATCTTCAACCCCATTCCCATTGCTCTTATCATCCTTATTTATCTCATCTCATTCAGTTCCAGGCTTTACTCTATGGGAATTTAAGATGTAGAAACTAGAAGCTTGTTGTCTGTAGCAAAAGGCAGCCTGTAATTAAAAGAGAACTTGACAATTCCTGTGAAATCCCAGTTTTGACACTGAACATAAAATATGGCATCCCCAAATCCAAATATGAAAAAAATATGGAGCATAAATCTGATTCTTTTTTTTTAAATAGAGAGTGAGAGAGGAGAGAGAAGAGAGAGAGAGAATTTTTTTTAAATATTTATTATTTTTTAGTTGGCGGACACAACATCTTTGTTGGTATGTGGTGCTGAGGATCGAACCCTGGCCGCACGCATGCCAGGCGAGCGCGCTACCACTTGAGCCACATCCCCAGCCCAAAATCTGATTCTTCAYACAAAAGAAAAGTAACCAGCACCTGATGTCATCCTCATTGGCAAACATAATCACTGCTCGAGCATTAGGTGTTTCTAGCAGGCGTTTGATAATTTTTTCAAATTCTCCAGGTCTTGGTTCACGTGGAATTTTCTGTGACTGAGCAATGCAAACACCACCTAATGGGGAAAAAAAGAGGTAATTCAGAAAGAGTGTGTGTTTAATTAAACCTTAATGATGCCAACTACTTTATAAAAGCATATGATTCAGTATAAGATGCTGTTTCTCAAAACACAAGTCATTTACCTATTAAAAGTAATTATGCTTGTATTATAATATGTGCATCAAATAAGGAGTATTAATTACTTAGCTTGTATTATAATATGTGCATCAAATAAGGAGTATTAATTACTTAATCATATATGAATTTGAGTTTTTTTTCCAAATGTAAACATTATTTTTGTGGATGCAAATAAGAAAACCAAGGTGTTTTTGATGCATGATAAGAGTCAAGGAGTGGAAGGGAGAGGGTTGTTTACGTTTACTCAACAGAAAATCAAAGGACAGGTGACTGAATTAATAAAAAGTCTGAGTATGTTTTATAGGTGAGACCCCTATTAAGTATCAAGGTCCTTTTGCTACTTTTCTTTATTAGTAGACCTCACTGAAAGTTAATTTCATTTTATTGCTAATAGTATTGCAGCAAGATTCTCATGCATCAGTGTTATGAGACAACTAGTCTCCAAGGCTCTCTGAGACACAGACAAGTGGCATCTTGTCTGCCAACACCAGAGACAACACTAGAGAATCAAAGTGGCAGAGATCCCATCCAAACTGAAAGAAAGGGAGGGAGGAAGGAAGAGAGAAAGAGGAAGAGAAAAAAGAAAGGGAAGAAAAAGAAGGAACTTTTCTTTGGGTCTTTTTTCTAAGGCAATGAGAAGCCAAAGAGAAAACTTTTGAAGACCTCTCTTCCTCTGGAGGGAAAGAGGTTTCTCCAACTACCATGGAACAGAGAGAAAGCATACTCTGATATTAGAAAAGAAAGCAATACTAGCATAGGTTTCTACTGCATTATGGTTTAAACAGGATTTTTTTTTTAGTCAGTCAAGAATTAAATCACCATTTATATCATTGTTTCAGTGGGCAAAGACTTTTTTACTTCCAAACAATTGACAATATATTTAGTCACCCAACATTGCTGAATGCCATTACACAATGAATTGGACTTAACACTGGAACAGTCCAGTCCAGTCCAGACCAGGAGATGCCATCCAGTCTGGGAGATAAGTGTTTCATAAGTAATCTTGGATATGTGGTAAAGCATAGAATTAACAGAGTATGCTATGCAATGGGAACACCAGAAGGAATTACAAAAAAAAGTCTGAATAAGCTAGATTTTAAAAAGGAAACACACATCCATATAAAAACGGGACACTCATGGTAGAGCCCAAGGTAGGCAAAAACCTGATTACAACCTGTGTTAGAAACTGGCTGGAGTTGAGGTTAGAAAGAATAATCAGCTCCAGATTAAGAATGACTTTTTAGTCATGCCAGATGCTATAGATTGAATATTCATATGTTGAAACTTAATCTTCACTGTGACTGGGAGGGAATTGGGTCATAAGAGTAAAATCCTCATGAATGGGATTGGTTCCCTGATCAAAAAGAGCCCAGAAAGCTCCCTTGCACTGGCTGGCATGTGAGGACACAGCAAAAAGGCAGCTCTCTATGAACAAGAAAACAAATCTCTATCAGAATCCAACCACGCTGGCACCTAATTATGGACTTCCAGCCTCGAGAACCAGGAGAGATAAATTCCTGTTGTTATATGCCACCCACTCCATGATCATTTGTTACAGTGTCCTAAATGAACTAAGACATTAAATAATTTAGGCTTTATTTTAAAAACAATAATAACCTATTAAGCCAGGCTTGGTGGTGCAAACCTGTAATCCCAGCGGCTAGGGAGGCTGAAGCAGGAGGATTTTGAGTTCAAAGCCAGCCTCAGCAAAAACAAGGCTCTAAGCAACTCAGTGAGACCCTGTCTCTAAATAAAATACAAAAAATAGGGCTGGGGTGTGGCTCAGCAGTTGAGTGTCCCTGAGTTCAATCTTTAGTACCAGAGAGAGAGAGAGAGAGAGACAAACTATTAAAAGGTCATAAGCAAGAGAATTACATACTGGACTTCACGCTTTAGGGAGAAACTGAGTTGGCTATATACAAGAAGAGTCTGGCAGCTGACAATGGATCCCCAGTGTGCATGATCAGACTTAATGAATATGGCAGTAATATATGACTTCCAGTGCTACATTACTAAAAGCTTATTTCTTAAAATAAGTTTGAGAGCATTCAAAAGTATTCCTATAATGGAACTACTCTTACTTACAATATGCTCTTTAGGCATAGGAATTGCTCATAACCCACAGATTGAGCCATGCTGTAGTGAACTAGCATACCATTAATAGTTTGGATGATTAATTCATTCCTTCAGTAAATATTTATTGAGTATCCAGTATCTGCCTGGGACTGCATGAGAGCTGTGCATGCCATRGTGAATAAAATGGACTTGGTGTCTACCTTCATAAAGTTTAGAAATATTGTGTAAACCAGGCTTACTGCAAACAAAACTGTAACAATTATTACATGGTTATGAATTAAGAAAAGCCCAATAAGAAGAAGCAAGGAAACTTAATTTAGATTGAAGAATATTCAGGAAAAGTTACCCAAAAGTGATATAATTTAGCTGAGGTCAAAAGGATGGAAGAATGGTAGAGAACAGAATTGGAAAGGTCAGGAAAGAAAGTTAGAGCCAGCAGAATTAATGAGTGGAGAGGAGAGACGTATAAGAAAAAGGTAAAAAGAAGACAGAGGCCAAAGTATGCCTGGCTCTGTGARTCTCTGGAATCGCATGAGTGAAGTGTGTCACTTCCTCACTGACTGTTACTCTAGCTCAACCCTGGAGTAGCCGCTATAAGAACATCATATATGAACATTGCATTTCATGGCAGAAAAATGGATGAAGACTGCTGATGTAAATGGAAACCCAAAGTGAAAAGAGCAGGAGGCAATGAGGAGGTGATTAGATTAGGTAGAGGGGCAATGGTGACAGGCAACCYTGGCTACTGGAGCCGGAGAGGAGCAGATGGAGCTCAGGGACAATTCCTGACTTAGAATCAATGGGTTTTGAATTGCTTTGATGTAAGTAGTGAAGCAATGAGAAACTACCAAGTATGACTCCAAGTATTTGGCCTTTGTGACCAGTTATGTGATGACATCATTAAACAAACAGGATGAATGGTATATGGAAGATGAATGGTACACAGAGGAGAAAAGCAGCACTTTGATTCAAGACAGGTCATACCTATGGAAGTACCTATGGAAGAGCAAACTGGAAAAATGGGAATGGAGCTAAGGGAAGAAAAGGGAAATCTGATACATCATGTGACTGTAAAAATCCACACACGAATAGGGTGAGTGGAAACAGTAAGTAACTGCAGAAATGCAACACCAAAACTTTAGTGCTCTCTAAAGAACAATAGCTGTTTCGAAATATGATTTCCCTTTTAATTAAATTGCCATATTTACTGAAGTACCGCATTAAAGACATATGATATCCTGAGTATCATTCTATGGCTATTCTGACTTCAGAGCCAGAAGAAATGAAAATTGGAAAAATTTTATTATGACTACTTTAGATGAGGCAAACAGGCAATCCAGACCTGTAGTTTTGTCTGAACTCACTGATTGATTTATTCACTAAGGACCTATTTATTGGCCATTTTTTTTGTTTGCAGAAAGCTGAATTAGTTAGATTGAATTTATACTTAGTCTAAATCCATTTCACTGTTTTCCATTCATTTTCTTCACCTTATATTTGTTAGACTGGTCGGTTTGTATTTTCCTGAAAAAGGACACTGCACAATTAATTTATATCAGCTGAACAAATAATTACAGTGAACCTTCGGCACACAGCATGCTGCTGTTGGGTGCCTTATGGATATTTTATTGGGTTTAGACTGATTACTTCTCAAGCGATTGGAGTTTGTAGATTAGGGTACTTTCTTTATCCCTGCAACTCATTCAAGCTTTCTATCTTTATATCAGTCAAAAGCCAGGCAGTTAATCCATTCACAAGCACTCRTGGTCTACTGTGTTTCAGAAGCTACAGGCATTCAAAAGATCACCAGTCCCAGGCAGATAACTGAAGGACAATACGTGCACATAAGAAGGGTCAGACCAGAGTGTTAAATTAGATAACAACGCAAAATAACAGGGTAAGATCCACAGAAATCCAGTAATAAATGACAGACAAGATATCCCTCAAAATAGTCCCATGACTTAATACAAATAAGGAGTCATATTATATACTGTTAGAATTTGTTTTAAAAATACAGTGAAATTCAGCCACACATTTAGTCCTAATCAAAGATACATTTTCTATCTAACAAAGAAACTCTATCATGATTTAATTTCCTGGGATGGGTAGGAGAAAGAGAAGTTGCCCTTCATCAAAGGGGCAATTTGTATATTGCATCCATATCTGCATATCTCACTCTGAAAGATTACTGACTGTGAATAATTCAAGAGACCCTGACTTTACTATTCTGAAGGTGTGGCCAGTTCTGGGGCGGAGGGTGAGGGGAGCTGTTTTTATAGCTTAGCACTTAGGAAAAAATTTTGTATGGAGGAATTTATAATTGGTCGTTTTCCAGAATTTGTTGCATGGTTTCCTTGGAGGCTTGGAGACTGTGCAATTTTTCTCTTTTTGATTATTAACAATAATTAAAGATCATTTGTTGAACAGAATACTTTGTCTGCTCTACAACACAAATCCTGGCTTCTTTCCAGTCCCATCCTCCCCCTGTACCACTGCTGTGTCTAATGGCAGCAATGTAAAGTTTGGCACTGTCACCATCTTTCTCATGAGGAGAAAGATGGTCTCAACCACTGGCGGGAGCTATTGGATTCACAGTCTATTCTAAGTCAGAGCTATCTGATGCTAAGTCTAGACTTTTCCCATCACGTAGCCCATTCATATCTGATTGTACCCGTAGCTTAATGGTTAAGTGGCAACAAATGATTGATGAATAATATAAAGCAAATTTAAAGACTCATTTGAAAAACCCAGTAGGTTGTCCCATATAAATCTAATTGACAGATACATAAATACAGTATTTCT